TCTCCTTCCATGTCCCTTCCATTCCACCACCACCACTAACCCACCCCCCGACTCCCAAATCATAGAGGGTGGCTTCATCCACTGGGGTGCACAGCTCGACTTCAGTTCCTGTCCTTCAGTTCCTCTCTTGAGACCCCAGGTTTCTAACCCAGGGGAAGCTTTGCTCTCCCTGGCCTGGAGGTTACAGTGCCGGGGGCGGAGGGCAGGTAAAGGAGCGGTGGTGCCATCCCTGTTCACTGTCAACAAATATCAAACTCTCTTGGACTAACTTCTGAAGTTCTTTTTAGAGTGAGGCCTCTAAAATGCACTGGGTCATTTCAGATTAGCCACTGTAATGTTTTATTCTAAATCATGAAAGGACTTCTCAGGCTTTCTAGGAACAAAGGTTGAAGTTAGCCCAGGGCTACTCCACTCTTGTTCTGGACAGAAAAAATCAACTGCCACCCCAGCAAACACACAACTGGACCAAGAGATCCTCTGTCTGTAGCCCATGTCCATTTTGGAAGCCTGAAGTTTATCTAGGAAATAGCAGCCATTCTTCCTGTTGGATTTTTTTTTATAATTTAAAATATAAAAAAAAATTTATTTTCATATGACAGTAGAGTATATTTTGAATTATATAAAATAGAAGAATTATAACTTATTCCAATTAGAATCCCATTATTGTGGTTGTACAAGATGTGGAGTTACATTGATCGTATATGAGGATAGGAAAGATGTATCTGATTCTTTCTACTATCTTTCTTATTATCATCCCCTTGGTCTAGTCCAATAAATTTCTAATCTTCCCCTACCTTCTGTAGGTTAGTATCCACTTATCAGAGAGAACATTCTGCCTTTTTTTKGGGGGGTGGGCAGAGTTTGTGTGTGTGACTGGCTTATTTCWCTTAGCAAGATATTCYCAAGTTCTATTCCTTTACTGGCAAATACCATAATTTTATTCTTCTTTGTGGCTGAGTAATATTCCATTGTGTATATAGACCACATTTTCTTTATCCATCCATCTGTTGAAGGGCATCTAGATTGGTTACATAGCTTGGCTATTGTGAATTGAGCTTCTATAAACATTGATGTGGTTGCATCACTGTAAAATGTTGATTTAAAGTCCTTTGGGTATAAACCGAAGAGTGGGGTAACAGGGTCAAATGGTGGTTCCATTTCGAATTTTCTAAGGAATCTCCATACTGTTTTTCAGAGTGGTTGCACCAATTTGCAGTCCCACCAGCAATGTATAAATGAACCTCTTTCTGGACATACTCACAAACATTTATTGTTACTTGTATTCTTGATAATTGCCATTCTGTCTGGAGTGAGATGGAATTTCAGTGTAGTTTTAATTTGCATCTCTCTAATTGCTAGAAATGTCTAACATTTTTTATATATTTTTGACCATTCATATTTCTTCTGTGAAGTGCCTGTTCAGTTCYTTAGTCCATTTATTGATGGGGTTATTTGTTTTGGGGTGTTAAGTTTTTGAGTTCTTTGTATATCTTGTGGATTAATGCTCTAAGGTGCTGGTGGTAAAGATGTTCTCCCATTCTGTAGGCTCTCTGTTCATGTTCTTGATTGTTTCCTTTGCTGTAAAATTTTTAGTTTGATACTGTCCCATTTATTGATTTTTTATTTTATTTCTTGTGCTTTAGGTGTCTTATTGAGGAAGCTGGTTCCTAAGCTGACATGATGGAGATTTGGGACTACTTTTTCTCCTAGTAGGCACAGGATCTCTGGTGTAATGCCTAGGTCCTTGATTCACATTGAGTTGATTTTTTTGTAGGGTGAGAGATAGGGGTCTACTTTCATTTTGCTACATATGGATTTCCAGTTTTCTCAGCACAATTTGTTGAAGAGGCTGTCTCTTCTCCAATGTATGTTTTTGGCTCCTTTGTCTAGTATGAGATACTTGTATTTATGTGGGTATGACTCTGTGTCTTCTAATCTGTCCATTCATCTTCATGTCTGTTTTTGTGCCAATGCCATGCTATGTTTGTTACTATAGCTCTGCAGTCTAATTTAAGGTCTGGTATTGTGATGCCTCCTGCATCAATTTTCTMAGTATTGCTTTGGCTATTCTGGGCCTCTTATTTTTCCAAGTGAATTTCTTGACTGCTTTTTTCTATTTCCATAAAGAATGTCATTGGAATTTTAATAGGAATTGAACTAAATGTGTATAGTGCTTTTGGTAGTATGGCCATTTTGACAATATTAGTTCTGCCTATCCAAGAACATGGGAGATATTTCCATCTTCTAAGGTGTTTTTCAATTTTTTTCTTTAGTGTTCTGTAGTTTTCATTGTAGAAGTCTTTCACCTCTTTTGTTAGATTGACTCCCAAATATTTTATTTTTTTTTTGAATGGGATAGTTATTGTGAATGGGATAGTTTTCCTGATTTCTCTTTCAGCTGATTTGTCATTGGTGTATAGGAATGCAAATGATATATGGGTGTTAGTTTTATATCCCACTACTTTGCTGAATTGATTTATAAGTTCTAGAAGCTTTCTGGTGGAGTTTTTGGGGTCTTCTAAATATAGAATCATGTCATTGGTAAATAGGAATAGTCTGAGCTCTTCTTTTCCTATTTGTATCCCTTTAGTTACTTTCTTTTGTCTAATTGCTCTAGCTAGGGTTTCCAGGACTATGTTGAATAAGAGTAGTGAAAGAGAGAATCCCTGTCTTATTCCAATTTTTAGAGGGAATGCTTTCAGTTTTTCTTTATTTAGAATGATGTTGGCCTTGGGTTTAGCATGTATAGCTTTTACAATGTTTAGGTATATTCCTACTATCTCTATTTTTTCTAGTGTTTTGAGCATAAATGGATGCTGAATTTTGTCAAATGCTTTTTCTACATCTATTGAGATAATCATGTGATTCTTGTCCTTAAATCTATTGATGTGATGAATTATATTTATTGATATCCATATATTGAACCAGCCTTGCATTCCTGGTATTAACTCCACTTGATCATGGTGCACTATCTTTTTAATATGTTTTTATATGTGATTTGCCAGTATTTTATTAAGAATTTTAATATGTTCTATGTTCATCAGGGATATTGGTCTAAATTCTTTCCTTGATATGTCTTCATCTTTGGGTATCAAGGTATTAGCTTTATAGAATGAGTTTGGAAGTGTTCCCTCCTTTTCTATTTCATAGAATAATTTGAGGACTATTGGTATATGTTATTCTTTGATGATCTTGTAGAATTCAGCTGAGAAGCCCTGAAGCCACCTATATTTAGTTTAAAGGAATTTTTGTTTTGTTTTGTTTTGTACCAGGGGTTGAACTCAAGGGCACTCAACCAATAAGCCATATCCCCAGCCCTAGTTTGTATTTTATTTAGACACAGAATCTCACTGAATTACTTAGCACCTCACTTTTGGTGAGGCTGGCTTTGAACTTGCAATCCTCCTGTCTCAGCCTCCCAAGCCACTGGGATTATAGGTGTGCACCACCACACCCAGCAAGGGTTTTTCTTTATGTTTTCTTTTTAGCAATTTATCCAGGCCCATTTTCTAGGGCTGAGCATGAAAGGTTGCATTGAATCACATGTACTTTGTGATTTTGCCCCAATAATAGTAATTTGTCTACATAACATCAACATCATTTATTCAACAAACACCCCTTAATGCCTTAAAAAAAAAAAAAACTGTCTCCAATATCAGATCCCAGGCCACGATATCCTCTCATACACGCACCACCGCCCAGTCCTTACTCAGTTGCAATGCCTGCCTCAGGATAGTGGTCCCCTTGTCTTTCAGAAGTGGATAATCCCTAGGCTTCAAAGTAACTGATGCAAATTCTTACCACCCCTCCAACCTATGTGCCTGTTTATTTCTCTTTTCTTGTAATGATATGGTCAATTAACTTATTTATTCATTTAGTCAATCAATATTTATTGGTCACTAATTACATAGAAGGCCCTGGGATAAAGAGGAATACAAATCACTCATAGCCAGGAAGAAGACTAGCAATTACAATATGGTATAGAAAATGTTAATCCAGTGATACACAAAGGTACTTCGGGAGCCCTTCTGTCACATCATCTTTCCACTTCCATGCCCTTCCTAGGYCTTGAGTCCAGCTTCCTGCCCTTCACCCACTGCAGATCCTCTGCATTTCATTTGCAGTAAATTCATTTGCAGGGTTCCTCTAGCACTGGCATGACACAAACCCAACCATGAATTGGGAAGGAACCACAGCATCCTTGGCAAGTAGACAACACCAATAAGAAAACACAGAGGCTGGGAGAGAGGTCCGCAAACATCCCACCAGTTCTGGAGGTTTAAAAACAAACTGTTGTGGGTTGGATAAATGAAGGATAGATGAATGAATAGACAAACAATTGAGTGATGATGCAATAGAGGCTTTAATGAGTGAATCAGAGAATAAACTCCCAACCCTGAAGCAACACTGAATTTCAGTTTCCAAAGCTTGTGCTTGTTCATGAAACACCATGTTCCCCAGAAGACTCTCTACAAAGATTTTGGTTTAAAAATTCAAGTTACTTCAAAGTTCACAGAAAATTTTGAGATACACTTGAGAAGGTGGAGCCACCTAGGGGAATTTCAGAACTGAGACTTGAGATCACTTACCCTAGGGGAAAGCTGAGTGGCCTCCCATTCATGATGCTCCAAGTTCATCAGGCCAGAGCTTTTTGAGGTGACTTGGTTGTTGGAAAGAGAAAGCTACAGAAGGTGACATGGGGGCAGGAGGGATAGTTCAGTGGTAGAATGCATGCTGAGCATGCACAAGGAACWGGGTTCCATTCCCAGTGGGAAGGAAGAAAGAAAGGGTTTTCGTTTAACCAAATAGTTGAACCACCTTAATCACAAGCTGTAAAATTTTATGTGAATCCAATACTGTGCCAAATCACTAAAGCAATGTTTCCTACTAAAAAGAGGATTAAAGGGGTCTGCAAGTAACTGCATTCTAAYACACCTGTTCTATAAATGTGAATGTTGTATTACAGATAGGAACAGGATTACAGAGGCTGTGAGGTCGAAGCCTGTCTGAACAGCTGATTTTTCTATAAGTCTTTAAGGGCTCCTAGGTTCTCCGAGATAAACTGGCTGAAGCTTCTGACTTTGGGATTTAGACGGTGGGTGAGTTTGACATCACGGTCTGGCTTCATTTGATAAAAGCGACACATATCAGCCAATTCCTTTGCTGCAGGGAATCCCAACTTTTCATAAGCTTCTGGGGTGATCTTTTAAGAACAAGTAAAAAAGGAGAAAATGTTATAACCCATTTAAAGTAAGATAAAAAGATGATATTCACCGTAATGATGATCCAAGTCCACAATTTTTTAGCTCAATTCCAAAATCCAAGAAACTCAAATGTGTTTCACATGTAATTAGGTAAGAAACTGACTTTGCTGAACTAATTTAGTGACAAATCTGATCTGAACTATGTAAAAATTATTTGTAGTCTTTAATTATCCCATTTAGTTGAAATATTCCAATACTTTACTACAGTGATATTGGTATATTTGATTACAATTTCCTGCCCCAGCCCCTGCTGGTGATATTACATGATGTATATAGACCATACCCCATATAAAAGCTGAAGGATTCTGAAAGCCACGTWGTTTTAGGACCCAAGTACCTTGGATAAGGTGCTAGATATCTATACCACCCTTCACTTGAATGGCACTTCATAGTGCTTTTGTTGGCATTTCCTCATGGGATTCCCCCAGCTGGTCTCTGGTATATTCCACCCACTTGGGACTCCATGTAAAAGTCAAGGTCCCCAATGCTGAACCTGCTTTCTCCTTAAAGATGGCTGATGTCCCATTCATCTTTTCTCCCTTCTTGGTTAGACATTTGCATTTTTTCCTTCAATCATCATAACCTCTGCCAGAACCAGACAGGCCTGAATAGAAGTAGAGCCCATCCCATACCTACTGAACTGCCTTCTGTGAAATTCATTTCTCAAATCCTTTCTGACACTAACTAGATCAATAATTGCTCCCACTGAATAAGCAAAGCTCACTTCTAACTATCTGATCCAGTGTAATCTGTCTTTAGACTCCAGAGATGAACTTTGACCTTAAAAAAATTTGACAAGCCTGGTGCACACCCATAATCCTAGCAACTCAGGAGTCTGAGGCAGGAAGATCGTAAGTTTGAGGCCAGCCTCAGCAACACAGTGAGGCCCTGAGCAAATTAGCAAAAACTTTGTCTCAAAACACAAATTAAAGAAAAAATTTAAAGAACTGGGAATATAGCTCAAGCATGCCTGGATTCAATCTTCAGTACCAAATAATAAAGTTAAAAATTAAAAAAATTTTAAATGTGACAGACATAAACAACTTATGTAAAACCATGATTATCACATGCCACTTACAATAATGAAAATTCAAGAACAACCTACATGTCCAGCAATAAAAGAATAGTAGAATACATTATGGTATATCTACTCTAAGAATATTAAAATTTGTTTTGAAGGAATTTAGCAAAATAGAAAAATGTTCTTAATATAATGTCACGTTCAAAGGCCAGATACAAAATGGCACACTCAATGTTATTTTAATTTTATTAAGTATATGTGCATATACTTATTATATATACTGGAAAAGATAGGAAGAAAATCAACCAAATCTGAATAGTAACTATCTCTGAGAAATTTAACTGTGTGTGATTTTTATATTCTTTTTCATAATTTCTGGAGTTTTTTTACAATAAGAATTCATTATTTTAGAAATCAGAAAAAAAAAACTAAAAACTTTGAAAAAGAAGGCTCTATGTAAGAAACATGGGAGATGGCTTAAAATCTGTCACCTCAAGTCATTTTCTTCTGCTGTAACTCTGACGATTAACATGCCTCAATAAAATAAGGAATTTTTTACTGTAGATTTTTGAARAATCTTTTGAAATTTGTTCTGTTATGTCTCACTTTGTAAGACAACCATGTTTCYTCTGGGGGTTAGATAGTTTCAGCCAATCCAGAACTTCTGGTAGGAGTTTGGTCTGGAGCCTGCATTCACCAAAACACCTCAACAGCCTCCTTGGGCCAGACTTGAGTGGGTGGAGGGGCTGGGACAGGTTGTGTAGTGGTGTCAGACCGGGAAGACTGGATCGCCACCTTGTGGCCACATGTACCTTCCCCAGAAAAATGATAATGTCCAAGCATTTTCCCAGTCCACACATAAGTGGTGTTGTCTTCAAGTGAGACTAGTTACTAAGAACAGCATTAACCACTCCATAGAACTCTGTGCCTCTACTGCTCTAGAACTTTTGGTGCCAGAGAAGCATTAGCTRAATTAGGAAACAACATAATGTCCCAAGAATAGAATGCCCACATTCCTTCCCCTTTACTCCTCCCCCCTCACTCCCCTGTGGTGCTGGGGATTGAACCCAGGGCCTTATGCAGGCTAAGCAAGCACTCTACCAACTGAGCTATATCCCCAACCCACTTTCCTTCTTTCTTAAAAAGTTCAAATCCCACAAGACAAAATGAATATAAGACTCAAATGCAAATGTTCCAGGAGAGGGATCACCAAGAAGACAATCTGCACTCAGCGACAAGAGACTGAGCAGACTTTCTGTGAGTCCATGGTTGAGTGAGTGACCTTCATGAGTTTGGGGATAACTTTTCTCTAGGAAATTTTATATGGTTTCAATGAAATACTCAGATGTTATTTTGTGGCTAGATTGACACCTACAATATTTTTTACCAGTCTCAGTCTCCTCAAGCCCCAATACCTGAGGCTGAATTGGGAATCTAGACATCCCCTCAAGATTCACTGGACCAAAAGCTGCTTATGTAAACAAGAACCAAGCTTCCACCCCTAACTTCAGGAAGAATCCTGAAATAGGGATCCACACCCTTTTTGTTAAGGGCTGGATATAAATAATTTAAGTTTTGTGGGCCATATGGTCTCAGTGTATCATCAAAACAGCTCATTCTTTCTCCTCTTATCAACAACTTGCTTGGGGAAATAGTTGTAGTGCTAAATATCACCAATCCTTGTCACTTGGCTATAAAAGATCTGTCCTCTCCATATACCAGTCCTTCCTCTATGATTTATAGCACCTTAGTTATTGAGGGTTTACTAAGCATCATAGCCAGTGTCAAGTGCATGTCATAACATCTCAGTTCATCCTCACAACAATCCACAATGGAGRTATAATAATATTTTTTAAACACTCAGAAACTGAGACTGAGAGAGGATAAGGTGCAGAGATTCCACACAGATACGTAGAGTTAGAACTAGTCAATTTCCCCAACAGCCACTGGCTTCTTGACCTTTATTGCAGAATTTAACCATGTCAGCCCTATTGCTGCCCTCTACCTGTACACAGTCTTGTCCTCCTCAAGGACCTCTTTTGAAGCCCCCTTCTCTCCTGAAGTCTTCTCCTACTGTCCTCTGTCCAGATAGTCTGGACAACACAATTAAGCACCCGTGTTACGCTTTGAGATGCTCGTGGTGACTTTCTTTATGTGCATCAAAATTTTTAGCCTGGTACATAAGAAGTTCTTGATACAAACCTACTACATGTCAAACACCAAGGTAGGTCCTAAATATATCCTGATTTCACAAGAGCACTTTGAGGTCGATACTTGACTTCAAAAAATGAGGAAACTGAGGCTGAGCRGGGGACTAAGAGCCTTGTCCCCATCAGCCTTTTCTGATGCATTTAGCAGTGAGAGCTGAGGAGTCAGGAAGGTGTGTGAGGGAAAATTTGTACCTCAGTCTTCAGATTCTAAGTTCCTTTCACCCAAAAGTAATTTTAATTTAACAAGCTGATTAATCTTGAGTCAAAGAAATAAAGCCATTAYGGGAAGGATTCAACCACATTAACCAGTGAAGACAGGTTCATGTGATCACAGTCCTCTTCAATTTCTTCCAACAGTCTAAGCTAAACCCTGCCTAAATCCACTGAAAGTCTAGTGAATTTGTGAGTTAACAGTATGTTAACCAAGGTGGCCCCTCATAATCACACTGATACATCCTAAGAACTCACCTTTGCATCTCGGACTTCTTTCCCCAGACTCTTGGAGAGAACATCAGCATATTGCTGTATTGTTAGTGCTTCTGCACTGAGGCCCACAGCCTTGCCTATAAACTCCTCTGGAGAATTAAAAATGCTAGAAACAACTGCTCCAACATCAGCAACAGAGATACCATCCATTGGTACATCCCCCATGGGCAGTGCTAGATTAAAAAAAAAATAAAATAAAGATAGCTCATTTTATCACTTCCTTCATAGATCCACCAAGCCAAATGAACCACTTAAACAAAAGGAGTAGAAAGGCAGTTGCCATGGTCTGTCCCCCAGTGGTCCTTGTGTTGGATTCTGTTTCCTGATGTGGCAATGTTACGAGGTGGCATTTAAGATGTGGAGCCTAGCCAGAGATCATTGAAGCCACTGCCTTTGGGAGGAATTAAGATCTTTCTTGTGGGACCCCAGGTTAGTTTTCCTAGGGTTGTTATAAAAAGAACGAGACTGAGCAGGACAGTAGCCATGTAAGCCAGGATCACTAAAGAGTGTGTAATAACTCATCTGCTGAATCAACTAGCCCTGAAAATGGATGCTGCTGGGTGGTGGGGAACAAGGCTGGCCCCACTCAGCCCACACTGCAACCTAGTGGTCGCTTAGTAAATATCAGCTATTCCTGTAGTGGAGAATGACATTCACGGTACTCAAGGCCTGGTTTTCCAGATTTGTGGGTCCCAGATGGCTCTAGGTACCAAGAGAAAATGAAGGTATCACCTCTTCACCCAGAACTAGTTAATCCATAGATTATAGGCTCCACTGATTCCGTGTRGGGAGGACCTGGGAAGCTGTATCCTGGAGTCTTGGTCCCTTGAGATTCTAATACTGACCATAAAATCCAGATCCTCCCCTGTTGTCACAGAAGGTCAGATGGATGAGCTAAAAGGGCCCTKAGCAGACATCATGTCCAACTTTCCCATTAGACAGGAGGAATCTGAAGCTTGAAGCCACAGAACTAACTACTTCCATAAGAAGGGTCAGCATGCTAAGACAACCCTTTCTGCTTCTGGTCTCAGATCCAGTTCTCTTCCCTCTATAGTGTAACTGCTGCAAGCAAATTTAGGACAATTTAATATCCCTCTTAGTACAGTAGGTGCTTAAATGATGGGTCCACTGAAGAGGAGCAGGAAAGGATAGAGAGAGAGGAAGGCAACCAGGTGTCTGGTTACMTTTCACCGAAGCCTTCCATTTACCTAAGGTGTAGTAATCTCCATCAGGGGCTTTCGAGGGCTTCAGAATGGTGAAAAAGTTTTCAAAATAAGCTGCCACGCGCACGCTGGTCATGGGAACGCCAATGGACCAGAAATACTCCTCCACCTCTCCCTTCCCATCGAAGTGGGGCACCTTCAACTTGCCCCCACTCAGCCGCTCCACGTTCTCCAGGCCGCTGTATACCACGTGCTTCAGCCCCAGGTGCTTGGCAGTATCTGCCACCATCTTTCCCTGAGGGAAGATAGTAAATCCTTTATGTGGGCCACTGTTTCTGCCTATAGACTAAAGGGAAGGTGCTGGGTCTCCTCCACTCCCTCTGTACTTATTGTCTTCACTGTGAAGAGGACATTTCTGCATCAGTTATGAAGTGAGGGGCCATCAGCATTGGCAAGCAGAGGCTCCCCTCCAAGATGCTGAACCCTTAGCCTGCTCCCCCTGGGGCTGCAAGGGCAGGGACCCAGGGCATGGGGGAGTAGAACAGGAAAGAGAGGAGGGCAGCAGAGAAGCGAATGCCAGGAACCCGAATGAAGCTGAGACRCAATAGCCAAGGAACAGTCGCCCTCTTCCTCTGGGCCCTCAGTATCTTTGTGGTCAACTTCCACATCTGTATATATTATATTGTGGGAGAACAGCCTTGCACGTGACTGAGTCACACTCCGGGGCTGGGTGCTGACACGCTCAGTCGCAGAAATGTGGCAGAGCTTTCCCCACCCTTYCTGGGTGCAGAGTGTCSGTGTCTCCTGCATGGGTGTGTCTTCCTACAGCCCCATGGGTGGAGCTATGCTCACCTCTTCCTTTGTAATATTACCCCTGGCCCTGTTTAGGACAGAATGTTCCATGGAAGTGCTTTGTGTGTGTTCCCTTCTCTTACTGTGCCCTTGGGTGTGRCCTACCYAGRTGTCAGTCAACCTGCTGACAGTGGACATCATGAAGATAGACTCAGCCTCCTGAAACCYGACCCCTTGCCTCWTTTGAATAGCTTCTCCTCAATAAAAGGGGTCAGCACGTTAGCATGTGTTCYCGCTSTCTCTTCCTGCAGACCCTTAAGGTCAGAAGAGCCGTCACAGTGACCCCAAATGAAAAAGGTATATCTGTCTCTTKYGTGGTTATATTGCACAGCCCAATCAGCCCAGTTCAACTGGAGTAACCCCTGAGTGTTTTAGTCGCGAATAGAAACCCAGCATTATATAAATTTTTCTGATAATGGATTATACATGCACATCATTTGGATATTACGGGTATGAGAGATGGGCACATACATACACACCAACACAAATGTATTATATTCTCTTCTTTGTTTTTAGTTCCAAAGTACCTTAATATGGCTCTCCCTCCTTCCCCACCCCTTTCTGTTTTCCTTTTCTTCTTTTCACTGTCTCATTTTTCCTCATTCAGAAGGCAGAGAAGGCATAATCTGGTTTAGCAGACAGAAGAAAGCGAAGCAGAGAAATGACTTCTACCTCCAGGTTCCATAGAGAGTGAATACMAGCATTAGAACCCAGAACTCTTAAAATAAACCCTCCAGATTTTAACCCTAAAAGATGTGCTGACATAAATAGATAAAAATAAAAGGCTATCTATAAATACCAATTCAATAGACATTCCTGAAACAGTTCCATCCTGCTCTTAAACTTTAGAATTGTGCCATATCTGAAGTGGCTGATACCATCCATCACATTCTTTAAATCTAATCTTTATTTTTCTCCCAAATTCATACATATACATGTTTTAAATTCCCAAATAGTACTGTCATAGGGGGTAGATCTTATAATATAAAAACAGTTTCCTGTGTTCTCACACTGATTACTGCTCTCTAGAAGTAACTGTTTTAATTCTTTTTAGTTATCTCCTTACTTCTAAAAAACATGTTTATGCCACTAATTGGTTTTTCCAGTTTTCTATACCCACTAAACTCCTACTAAGATGAGAATTCAGTGCATATCTATGACGTGTTCTCCCTCTCAGTCCTTTTCCATTACCACCATCATACATCTACACAATCCCTTTATTTCATCATCCCAATAAAAAGTTTCTGGCAGATCAATGTGCYATGCTTACACACAGCTAAGCGGAGCCTTGGGATCATCTCTACCCTTACTATTTCTACACACTCTTTTTCCTGAAGTTACTATTATGAGATTATTTGCTTGCTAGTCTCTTTTTTACRTGCCCATTGCTAATTAATCCCCAATTCTCTGCCTGAAGTGTAAATATGCTCTTTTATACTTTATTCTCCCTGTTTAGCTCTCCGAGTGGAAGTTACATGGGGAAACTTGCTGTCACCCCACATGCCATCTAGAAACAAATGGTGAGAAGCAGGGAATCAAATGACTGACTATATTAAAGTCACTCTCAAATATATAAGATCTCACCTAGGTGCACATAACATTAATTTCATAATCAAAGACTCCCTGAGCAAGTACCTAAAGTACATGTATTCCATAAATGTCAGAGGGATGTTGCAGAGTGAAGCTTATAATTTTGCCCAGACTGAAGTCCTTCTCCCTGCCAGGGAGGACAGAAATAGGTAGGGAGGGAAAGGGAAAAGGCTCAAAGGGGAAAGAAGAAAGAGTTTGGTTCCCACCTGACACACTTCCTTGTCTTTGCTGAAATGCTCCCAGAAGTTGGTCACCACGAAGGCCCCATAGGCTCCTTTTAAGGCAGCTTCCACTGACGCTTTGTCATTCAGGTCACYTTTTACCACCTCAGCGCCAAGGTTCTGGAGCGCTAGGGCATTTGGTCGAGTCACATCCCTCGTCAGTGCTCTCACTGCAAAATGTTTGCTCTCCAAAAGGGCCTTGGCCACAGAGCCACCCTGAGATCCTGTAGAGTCAGGGGAAGAGGAAACACAGGAAAGATCAGGAAGAATGTTCAGGAATGATCAGGAAGTTTCATTGTTCAGTGTAGGCTTGCTGTAGAACCTACTTTGGGGACCCACATGATACTTGAGATATCCCCAAGTATTTCCCAATTGAGTTTCTTTCTTTCTTTTTAAATATTTTTTTAGTTATAGATGAATGCGATATCTTTATTTTGTTTATTTATTTTTATATGGTGCTGAGGATCGAACCCAGTGCCTCACATGTGYGAGGCAGGCGCTCTGCCGCTGAGCYCCAGCCCCAGCCCCCAACTGAGTTTCTTTGAGCACTTCAGAGGTGCAGAAGCCAAGRGGAGAACAGGATTGGGAAAGGCTTGAGGCAACAAGAAGTCCAGGTGAACAGGGTGCTTGCCTCTCTATCCCAGAATCAACAAGGGCAATTATAATATAATTCAGTTATATATTTTATATGGAGGTTCTTCAGACAATTGTATTTAAAAAAAAAAAAAAAAAAAAAACAAACTTCCTAGTTTGCACACTTTTTTTTTTTTTTTTTCAGGAGAGCTAGGTATCAAATGCAGGGCCTTGCACATGCTAAGCAAGCTCTTCCACTAAGCTATATGATTAGCTTAGTCTATATTTTGTAAACATTTTGAAAACTTGCACGTTTCTTTTTATCACATTCAAGACCAATCACAATATGATCATATGATCGTCACTTGTCTAGTTGATCTACTCTGGACATGCTTACTGAAAGCCCTCTGATATATACCAAGTGCTGTGCTGGGTTACTGAGATTCGAGTTTCTCCATCAGATTGGCCAGATCTGTCCTAGATGATTTTTGTGTTTTTAAATCTACATTGACTTTCTCCATCCTGCCTCGTGCCCTGGRAGGCTCACCTTGATAGACTCCATCAATAGGTTCTCTTGCCCTCCTGTTGGGTCTGAGCAATGGGAAGGGTCAGCAGAAGACCCAAGGGCAAGGTAAAGCTGACCATCTTCATATCACTATTGTCTCAGGTTCTGGTCATCTCTTTTATCCTTTTCTCCCTCCTTCTGTTGCTTACATACTCCTTATTGTTCTCTTCCCTGTAAAACTTTATTAATTTTTTGCAATTTCTCTGAATATGTGGCATCTGTTTCTTATGAGATGCCAGTTGATACATGCTTGATAACCCTAAAATAAGGTCTACCATTCATGTGCTCTCTCTTTGCACCAAGAGCTTCAATCAATGAAAGTAGCAAATTGCTTAGTGGTAAGTATGAASAGGTACCATAAAGTTCACCAAAGTGTAAGGAAAGCCTCCACATTAAAGGCAAAACCAAAATAAACAAACTGATAAAAGGAAACAGTGCAAAGCATAGGGGGAAAAAAATAAAAATAATTACTATTCTCCAAGGTTGATGAAGATTTTGCATTCCAAACACTACATCTGCAAAAGGAGGAAAGAATTAGTAGGGAAAAAAAGGCAAAGAGAAAAAGCATTCACAAGATGAAGCTCTGAGGAATTTAAAATATTAGAGCAAAAATAAAATTTCAATAKAAAAAGTCTGGGAACTCTACAAGGATTAGAAGAAACAAGCAAAGAAATAGAAAATAAGAGAGAGAAAAAATAAKTAGAAGATCAAGCCAAGGGAATTCCAAAATGAGATAATAGAGAAAATGGAAGTGCGGAATTTATTTGATAATTATTTGATAATTAATCAGAGATAATATCTCAGAGTCCAAGGAGATGGGCTGAGCTCCCAGATTGAGGGGTCAGTGAGGGCCAAATACAATGACAATGTCCCCATTACAGTGAGATTTCTGGTTCATATTTTTATTTACTCTTCTATTTCACGGTACTGGAAATTGAACCCAGGGTTTCACACATGCTGGGCAAGTGCTCTACCGCTGACCTACATCTCTATCCCTTAATGTGAAATTTCAGAACCCTGGAGATAAAAAGATGTTGATTTCTGGGGAAAGGAAAATCAACTCTAAAACATGGGATAGAAACAGCATCAGATTTCTGGATTTGTTTGTTTTAAACAAGTTTACTGAAACAACATCATGATTAAATTGAAAGGAAAACTAACTTGGATTCTTTTTTAGAGTAATTTATTCCTACTTAATGACAGATTGTCCTACAAGTAACAGTTACATACAAAAGTTATAAAATTATTCTTGGTTTTTCATGAGAAGTGAAAAGAATTAAAATTCTCCAGTAGAACAAGGTATATGAGTAGTTTTTATGTTATTAAAACAATAAGAACAAAATAACTTACTGGATTATAAARATGAGTGCTGAATGATCATGGCACTATGAGCAAAAAGGTATTTTCACAGTACTGATATTTTCCCTTTGTTATCTGCATTTGATGTTGACCAACACATACCACTGGCAAGCCTGGGGAYGAAGCTCAGTGATAGAGTGTTTGCCTAGCATTCCCAAGGCCCTGGGTTTCATTTCCAGCACAGCCAACAAACAACCCATACCACTGGCTATTTGGAATACATATATTTTACACACACACACACTGGCAGGTGTGGTGCATGCTTGTATCCCAATGACTCTGGAGGCTGAGGCAGGAAAATCTCAAGTTCAAGGCCAGCCTGGGCAATTTAGCAAGACTGGTTTAAAAAAAAAAAAATACAGACTGGGGATATAGCTCAATGGTAAAGTAACTCTGATGATTACACAGTAGCAGGCAGGTAATAGGTGCACAATAGGCTTGTGCACATATACCAATCATTCATGTACCAATAGAGGAATGGGGAAGAGGAAAATGAAAGAAGAGAGAATTTTTTACTGGAGTAGTCAGGAGGTGATAGAACCAAATTGTAGTTTTCTAATTAACATCATAAGAACAGAGTTCTGGAGTGTCTGTTTCATGGATCCCTGTCAAATCTGAATCTGATTTGGAATCTGTGGTTCACAATAAGCTTTCTTTAGTTACTTAGTGGATAGAGTGTGCGGTTAATCTTAAACTGCCCCACAACCTTCTAATGAATAAAATAGTGTTCTCAGTCTTGACTCCTTTCTTGTGTTTTACGTGAGCCAATGGTGAGCTCTGGAGATCAGCTTTCAAACCCCAGACCATCAGCAGCCATGATGGTGCAGGACTGAGAGAGCAGGAGCCATGGGGTGAGTCGGGGGAACGTGGTACTTTCCTTACAATGTCGAACGCAATGAAGCAAGGCTATTCAGGGGGGAAAATAAAATTCTATCTAGAATTCTAAGCCTAGACAAAAGATCAATTCTAAAAATTTTATATGAAGACATTTTCAGACACATCCTCAAATTTTTAACTCCCATGCATTTAAAAAAATTTTTTTAAATTATAGATGGACACAATACCTTTATTTATTTTTATGTGGTGCTGAGGATGGAACCCCGTGCTAGGCAAGCACTCTACCACTAAGCTATAACCCCAGCCCTCCCGTGCACTCTTTATAAGGTACATAAGTTGCCAGAGATTGCCCAAGATGAGAAAGTAAAGCAAGCTGAAGAAACCAAGAAGGCTAGGGGTTTGGCTTGGTGGTAGAGCACTTGCCCATCATGCAGGAGGCTCTGAGTTCAGTTCCCAATACTGAGAAAGAAAAAAGTATCCAGAAACCAAACTCAGGATAAAGAAAAAGAGAATTATTAGAATAATGAAGAAAGGAAGATAGAAAGACCGAAACAGAAAAATGAGCACTTGAGGAAGGAGATCTCCACAGTGTTGCTGGGAGAAACAGAACCAACAGATTAATGATGTGCTTGATCATTTTCAGAGAAATCTTCCAGTTTTAAAGAGATAAGAGAAAAATGGTAYATGTAAAGAAAATTAAGCAAATAGAAATAATGGCAATTAATTTAAGAGAAAACAAATTGTGTAAGAAGTAAAGTAGTGTACATTTGGCTCAAGTATGAACAAAAATTAGGGGTTTAATTCAGTGGTAAAATATATATACTTCAGGGGCTTGGGTTGTGGCTCAGTGGTAGAGTGCTCACCTAGCACGTGTGAAGGCCTGGGTTCAATCCTCAGCACCACATAAAAATTAAAAAAATAAAGGTATTGTGTCCAGCTACAACTAAAAAATAAATATTATATAAATATATGTTATATTTACATAATCTATATACTATATTATATAGATTATATAAATATTATATATAAATAAATATTTTTTATATAATATTTATTTATTTATTTATTTATTTATTTATTTGGTGCTGGGGATTAAACCCAGAGGCACTTTCCCAGCCGTTTTATTTTTTATTCTGAGATAGGTTCTTGCTAAGTTGTGGAGG